CCCGTTACAGCGTCCCGTCCTCACGGCATTTCAGCCCCAATCCTGCCCCATTTCACCCCCAATCCTGCCCATGGCAGCACCCCCTCCTCATGGCACTTCAGCCCCAATCCTACCTGCCTCCCGCCGCCCGCCCACTGCAGCATCCCTCCCCCCTGCCCAGGCTCCTACCTCCAGCTCCTTGAAGAAGATGCAGCTCCGTGCCCACTCCACGATGGATAAGAGGGTCTGATCAGCCATCTTGCACATGAGGCCGAAGGTGCTGAGCTTCTCGTGCCGGCCTTTGCCTTGCTCTTGCTGCAGACAGGCCATTATCCGCGCCTTCACCTGGGCCTCGTCGGGCTCCAGCTGCAGCAGCTTCAGGATGACCTCGGGGATGTCGGGGGGGGAGCTGCTGGGGTAGGTCTCTGGGTACACGTAGGCGGGCACGGACTCGTGTGCGTTTGTGTAGTGGTCCGGGTACTCGGACTTGATGGTGCGGTTGGGGAAGGAGGGGTAGTGGTAGCTGGCGAGCGGCGCGTGACTGGGCACAGTCATTCCCAGGGACGGCGTCCCGTAGGGGCTGCGCTCGTAGTCGACGGGCGTCAGGGCGGCAGGGTTGGGCGGCAAGGTCTTGGACATGGCGTGGATGCTGTGGATGGTGGAGGACAGGCTGTAGTCGTTCTGCACTGGGGACACGATCTGAGGCACGGTCTCCAGCTTGAAGCCGTTGGCACGGATCAGAGCTTTCTTCTGCTGCTTTAAGGCACGGTCCCGCTTGTACATGGGTCCAAACTTGTTCCTCCCTCCGCGCATCCGGTCGGCACGCACAGCTGGGGGCAGAGAGAGGGCAGAGGTTGCAGGGAACCCACATGGAGGGAGACCAGCGCTTCCACACGGCATGGAGAAAATGATGGAGGGGGGGATTTGGTGGCCAAATTGGGCTGGGGGGCACCAGGGAGACCTTCCCAGAAAGCTGCTGGCAGGACCGTGCCGCTCCCCGCCCAGGCGTGCACACCAGGGATGTGGCATGGCAGGTTGGGGTGCCTGGCCCCGGCTCTTGCCTTGCTGGTGTCAACCTCAGAGCCTCCGGGAATTGGAGGAAAGGAAGAGACATTTGGCTTTAGCTATAAAATGGGCTGGGGGATAAAGCAGCTTGCATCCCTCACGGGTTGGGGGGACAGCCGGTGAAACCCGGGGAGATGAGGTGGCTTAACACCCACTTCCATTTTTACGACCCCTGACTCTGGACCAGCCCCAGGATTTCCTTGCTTCTGCAGAGCCTGGGACCCCACAGCCCTCTCAGACCCTGGTTTGCTTGCATCCAGGCTGCACATGCTTCTGTTTTGCAAATCTCTGCCCCTTTCACAGGCAGCACGGCTGGCAGCCCCAGCCGGGCACACTGCACACCGCGGCAGGGCCGCGCCAGCTTTCAGGCAGGAGCCTGCGCGTCCCTGCTGGGTGTCAGCTACGGCCGAGGGGCTCTGCTGCAGCACCCCACTGGCAGAGTCACTCGGACGGCCCCATCGCAATCTCCTGGCTGTAGCAAAGCAGATGTTCCCTCCAAACCCCAAAAGAAACCCAAGAATGTGTCAGCGCACGGGGGAGCAGGTGCTTCTCTGCAGCGGGAGCTCGTGCCTCCGCACTGCCCCGCTGCGCTCCCAGGGGCTGCTGCCCCGGCCCCCCCTTGGAAGGTCCTCAGCTCGCTGGGAGCTGGGAGCTGGACGGCGGTGCAGACAGATGGAGGAGAGCGCGCCAGCGAGCGCAGCCCGCAGACTTAGCATCAAAGGGAAAAAAACCCCTCTGCTAGTTTGCGTCCCTGCTGACAGCAGGCGGTCTTGCTTTTGTGTCTCAGCTGTTACCTCTGCCTCTCTTTTGCCTACTTATCCTGCGGCCACTGGAAGCATGGCCAGCCCCCCCGGAGAGCCCCGGCACCTCCCAAACTCTCCCTGGGCAGGCTGGAAATG